CCCCCTTATCCCCATCCTATATCCTGTCAACCACAATTCTTGTTGCTGCTGTGACTTCAGCTTTTTTAGATTCTACATATAAGTGTATCTACTCAGATAATCACATAATTTTTCTTCATTCTGTTAATGTACTGTGTTGCTGTAACAAAATATCTGATACTTGGTAATGTATAAAAAAAGAGAAGTATTTGGCCCATAACTCTTGTGGTTGGAAGTTCTAAACAGCCTGGTGGGAGACTCCTTCTTGCCTCCTGGAAAGGGCCTTTGGTGCATCATAACATGGTAGAGAAGTAAAAAGACAACCAACTGCATGCAGAAGGGGCACATGTGTGAGGGAGAAAGCAAGAAAGATTTAGGGGAGATACCAGGCTTGCCTGTAACAACCACTCAAGCAGGAAGTCCTGGGAGAGCAAGAATGAACTCTTCAGAGGAAAAAAAAGCCTTAAACTCTCCTAAAGACCTAAACACCTTGTAGTAGGCTTTACCTCCTAAGTATTCCACTACCTGTCAACATCACCACACTCAGGACTAACCTTTGGGATCAAATCAAATCCAAATTATAGCATTTTAAGTTTTGCATATTTTGAACCATTCTTGCAACCAGGGATACATTCCACTCAGTCATGGTCTTTTTAGAGTGCTGTTGAATTTGGTATGCCAGTATTTTGTTTGGGATTTTTTCATCTAGTTCATCAGAGATATTGACCTGTGTTTTTCTTTTCTTCTCAGGTCCTTGTCTGGCTTTGGTATGAGAGGAATGCTGGTCTTACAAAATGAATTTTGAAGTATTCCCTCATCTTCATCTTTTACGAAGAGTTTGAGGATTGATGTTTATTCTTTAAATATTTAGTAGAATTCACCAGCAAAGGCATAGGGTCCTGAGCTTTGCTGGAAGATTTTGATTACTGACACAATCTCTTTACTCATTAGTGGTCTGTTCAGATTTTCTATTTCTTCATAAGTCAATCTAGATTGTTATGTTTCTAGGAATTTATTCATTTCTTCTAGGTTATCTCATTTGTCAATATAGCTTTGCATGGTAGTCTTTTACGATCTTTTGGTATTTGTTTTGTGTAAGTTTTAATGTTTCCTCTTTCACTTATAATTTCGTTTATTTAAGCCTTCTCTGTTTCACAGTTTAATTAAAAACTTCTCAATTTCTGTTTATCTTTTTGAAAACAACTCTTGGTGCCATAAAATTTTCCTATTTTTCTGGTATCTATTTCATTTACTTCTGCTCTGATTTTTATTTACTCTTTGTTTCTGACTTTGGGCTTACTTTGTTCTTGTCTTTCTCATTCCATCAGGTGTAAAGTTAGGTTCTTTTAGATCTTTCTGTTCTTTTAAGTGTAGGTGTTTACTGCTAAAAATACCCTTCTTAGAACTGCTTTTGGTCTACAGCATATATTGTGCTTCCATTTTCATTTAATTTTCTTTTTGATTTCTTCTTTGACTCATTGGTTATTCTGGAGTATGTTCATTTCCACATATTCATGAGTTGGCCAGTTTTCCTCCAGTTATTGATTTCTAGTTTCATGCCATTGTGTTTGATATGATTTTAATCTTCTTGAATTCATTAAAACTTGGTTTTTGGCTTGACATCTGATCTGTCCTGGAAAAATCTTCCATGTCTCATGAAAAAAAATGTTTATTCAGCTACTGTTAGGAGAAATATTATGTCTGTAAATGTTTTATATACATACCTGTGTATGGTGTTAAAATGTTCTGTTACCTTACTGATATTTTTTTTCTAGATTAACTATCCATGGTTGAAAATGTATTGTGGTTCATTTATCTCTCTATTTCTGTTAATATTTTCTTATATATGTAGGTGTTCATACATTAGTTGCATATATATTTACAATTCACATATACTCCTGATGAATTGTTTTATCTTTATACATAGTAGGTATCTCTTTCCACAGAAGACACAGTCTAAGACAGAAAGTAGATGCCTGAAACCTCAGATAATTCTGAGCCCTGTAATACTAAATGTTGTGGCACCATGACAGTTGATAGCTGAGATGGCTAATAAGTGACTAACAGTGGGGAGTGAATGCAGTATGAAAATCCTGGACAAAAGACTAATTTCCATACCAGGTCAGACAAAGTGGGGCAGTATGAGATTTCTTCTTGCTACTCAAAACATCATGCAACATACAACTTAAGAAATATTTATTTCTGGAATTTTCTATTTAGCATTTTTAGGCTGTGGTTGACCAAGGGTAAATGAAATCCCAGCAAAAAAGAAAACCAAAAAAAAAATATATGCATAAGGGAAGACTACTGTAGTGACCTTGTGACAGTTTTTGACTAAACTTTGTCTAACATAAGGATAATCATCTTGTCTCTTTTTCTTGCTATTTGCATGGGATATCTTTTTCCATCCCCTCACTTTCAGCCTGTTTGTGTCTGTAAAGCTAATGGTAGGATCAGTAGGTATCGAATGTTCTTACTTTTAAAAAAAATCCAGTCAGCTACTCTATACCTTTGATTGGGCAATTTAATCTTTATGCATTTAATGTAACTATCAATAGGTGAGAACTTAGTAATACTAATTACATTTTATTAATTGTTTCTGACTGTTTCATAGTTTCTTTGTTTCTGCATCCTCTTGCTGTCATCCTTTGTGATTTGATGGGTATTTTGTAGTGGTGTGATTTGATCCTTTTATCTTTTGTGTGTTTGTTACTGGTTCTTTGTGGTTTTTGATGCTAACATAAATATCATAGCTATAACTTTCTATTTTAAGATAATCACAACTGAACTTTGACTACATACATAAACTCTACATTTTCACTTCTCCTTCCTCGACATTTTGTTATTTATGCCATAATTTACATCTTTTATGTATTATATATTCATTAACAAATATTATGTCTTTTAATGCTTTTGTCTTTTAATTTTATAGTATAATTAAATGATTTTTGTACAACCAATTTAGTAGTACAGAATTCTGACTTTGACTATGTTCATGGAGATTTATTTTTACCTATGTTTTATTTTCTTAATGATCTTTTTATTTCAACTTATGGACTTCCTTTAATATATTTTACAAGACAGGTCTAGTGGTGATAAGCTCCCACAGCTTTTGTTTATCTGGAAAAGTCTTTACCTCTCCTTCCTTTCTGACAGGAACCTTATTGGGTATAGTATTCTTAGTTGGCATTTTTTTCTTTCAGTACAGATGCTCCACATTTTAAAATGGAATTGTATTACAATAAGTTCATCGTAAGTTGAAAATATTTTAAATAAAAATGCATTTAATAAGACGTACATCATTGCTTAACAACACAGTATATTGTAGAGTGTTGTTTGTTTTCCCTCATGACCACATGATGGAGTGGGAATTGTAGCTCACTGCTGCTGTCCAGCATCCCAAGGATGAATCATCACTAGCTTATGAAAAGATTCAAATTCAAAATTTGAAATATGGTTTCTACTGAATATGTATCAATTTTGGACCATAGTAAAGTTGAAAAATGAAACTTAGGGACCGTCTGTACTTTGAATATGTTTTACTCTCTCCTGGGTTGTAAGATTTCTGCTAAGAACTCCACTGAAAACCTCAGGAAGAGTCCCTTGTATGTGACAAGCTACTTGTCTCTTGTTGCTTTCAAATCTATTTTTGTCTCTGACTTTTGAGAATTTGATTTTAATGTGTCTTAGTAAGGATTTTTAAAAATATTTGATCCATGTGGGGTTTTTTGGGCTTCATGGATCCTCATGTTCATTTCTCTCTTCACATGCAGGAATCATATTTGGGAAGTTTTCTGTCATTATTTCTCTAAATAAGCTTTCTGCCCCCTTTATCTTTCTCTGCTCCTTCTGAGACTTTCAGAAGGCCTATTGGTTTTCTTGATAGTCTCTTGTAAGTCTAGTAATTCTTTTTTTTTTTTTCTATTATTCCTCTGAGTAATTTCAATTGAACTGTCTGAGCTTGGTGATTCTTTCTTTGTTGAACTGCCTCCCTTGTTTGTATTATTTTTCTCATTTTGTTTGGTCATCTATCTGAACTCACTGGTAGCTCATTGAGCTACTTTAAGACAATCATTTTGAATTCTTGTTTAGGTAGTTATGGGCCTCCATTTGTATAGTGTCAGTTATTGATTGGTGTTTGATTTTGTTCCTTTGCTGATGTTATTTTTCCCTGATTATCATCCTTATGGCTTTGTGCTGGTGTCTGGACATTTGAGGAATTAAGCACTTTCTTTAAACTTTACAGACTGGCTCCATCAGGGAAAGCCACTGATCAACCCACCCAAAGATTATGAGTGGGCCATTTGGTGGGGTCTAGGGGCAGGGTTGGAACCAGAGTCCTTGGGCAGACTGGCCAGGCCGCAAGGGTGGGTCTGGTGACTGTGTCCATAGGGGTATGCCTGGAGCCTTGGTTCATTGAGGCTTCCAGGATCCTGCATGTGAGGACTGACTTGAAGCCTGAGTTGTAGATGGTTGACTTGATATTAGGATGGGCTATAAGTTTGACTCTACAAGGACCAGCCTGAGCCTGGGATCACAGAGGTTGATAGGTACTCTATCAACCTGGTGAGATTGGAGACAGTTTTCAGGTTCCAGATTGGAATCTGGGGTTGCAGTGGCTGGCCTGGTGCTAGAATTTACTAGGGCAAGACGCAAGACTGGTCCTGGGTTTTTGCCAATGTTGGATATAAGGATATCCATTTAAGATATATATATGTGTATATATATACATATATATACACACATACACACATATATATACATATATATATATATGTGTGTGTGTGTGTATATATATGTATGTATCTTCCCTCCCTAATGAAGAGGGAATCTATGCTATGCTGTCCAGACTTGGGAGCAAGGTGATGTGGCTAATGTGAAGCTATCCTTCCTATGATCTTAAATGAATCTTTTCTTATTTCTGTGTTCCAATCAAGTGCGTTAGACTCTCGCTTGGATTCCTTAACTCTTGGGAAGATAATTTTGCGTTTGGAAAGTTTTTCACATTGATATTTCTGCAAGGGGGTGAATGTTGGAAATTCTTATTCTGACATCTTATTACATCACTTCCTGAAACAGTTAATATATTAAGCAGTTGAACACAGGAATAAGATGTTCATGGGATGTATTGACAAAACAAAAAGCTGAAACTGTTGGCCAAAATCCAAAGTCAATATTAGAGCCAAGCAAATATTGCCTGCAGTGGCACTGGGACAGTTTGAAGACCTTCCATTTTTAAGTGGCAAGAGACTCCCTCACCTCCAGAACTACAGAAGCAATTGTGTTTTCAGGTAGGAAATTTATATTATTCTGATTTCTTCTAAATACAGTATTTTGGTTTTAAGTATAATTTTTACTTTGTGAAGAATCTATCAGTTTGTGTTCTAACTTCCTGAGTATTCAGACAGTCTAGAAGAAACTGATGTTTTTGTACATAGAAATATTTAAATACAAAATATTTAAAAAATAAATCTGATTTCTGTAACAAGATATATGTAAATATAAGTTAAAATAAATGAAATCTTTCATGTAAACCATTCACTTACTTTAAAAACAACAAATGTATAACAGTAACAAAAATACAAGGACTCGGTCTATTTTACCACCAAACATGTACATGTTGTAAAACCAGTAAAGAGTTAGAAATAATGATCAACATCAGAACATCAAGCCATTCCAGCCCAGAGACTGTGGTATCTAAAAGCCACATTTTACTAGATGTGGTGGCACACACACACCTATAATCACAGCATTCAGG